CCCCAAAACCCCAAAACCCCAAAACCCCAAAACCCCAAACAAGAATTTAAGATAGAATTAGCTATTTTTGCAATTTTCCGTTATAGATTTCATTCAGAGGCCGATTGTTGAACTTCTTGATACTATCTACAGGACTTAGCTGATAAAGTCCATTAGAGAACTTAAGCTTCTTCAGATGTGTCTGGACATTAGTCTCATTGAGCTTAGCTACTTTATTCATCAAATTCATTGAAATAGAATTTGCATACCTGTGGGAGGTATTTTTAGGGTTGATATATGATTCTTTATCATAAACTAAACTCTTAGGCAACTTATAACTTTCTTCAAGGCCATCAAGGGAGAGATCTTTGGCTAACTTCTGGTAGATCATAGTATCTCTCTTGCTGTTTCTTATTGTCTGCGTAAATCTCTTCTCGATTTCTAAGATATCCTCAAAGTCCTTTTTCTTCACAAAGTGCTTTTGACTCTCTTCTTCAATAAGCAGTTGATGGTAAGGAGTACCTTTAAGTCCGATTTCTGTGAGTTTCAGTTGTTCACCTCTTTCTGTCTGATCTTGAATACTTTTAAAAATACGTTCCACTATAAAAGGTCAGGGGTAGCTTACTCCTCATATTTTTGATTTCATTTTCGTCAAGTTTGGGCTTGGTGATGCTAAGTCTTGAAGAGATAAAGCTAGGAGACCTCTCCCTGAAGAAACTTCTTCTCCGAGTAAAGGAAATCTCAGGGATCTGGTTAAGATCTTGTGGATCAAGCTTAAAGCTATTAAGATGCTTCAAAGCCAACTGCTTATTTTTGGGAGTCAAGTTAGTAGGAATATTGAACTGCACAGAGGTGTTTTTGACGCCTGGAGATTTTGGATCGGAAACAACAATATTCTCCACAGAACTGTTCCTAATAGCAGGCATTTTGAAATCTTTTATACCTGTCTTCTTTATAATGCTAGCTTTCTTCTTGCGGATTTTGGGTGCTATGACCTTTGGCATGGTGAAGCCTGGTCTATCAACTGGAGAGAGAGTTATTCTGTCTAGCTGTTTTCTTAGTTTGTTTTTATTTTTATCAGAGGCTTCTTTATCAAACTTTTTGATTTGTTTTCTTTGCTTATTTACATTTCTGTACCAATAATTTCTTAGAGTTTAAGTAGCCTTTGTTGTGCCCTGGAATAAGACTATTCTGAACATTATCTGTAGATATTGGAGCGAAGTTGGTACCTATATCTATGGTTGTTATTTTTGGAAGGATTTAACCAAAATTGTAGATTTTAACATCCCCTAGAAGCCCTTTTAACAGTCTTTATAGCTTTTGTATATTCAAAGCTAATTAGAATTGTGTACTTACTCATTTATATTTAGTGATTTAATTCAATATTTTAATAATTTAAGGGGTTTTGGGGTTTTGGGGTTTTGGGGTTTTGGGGTTTTGGGG